ACGAGGAGCAACAGTCTATTCATTCCTCAGGGATCATGTTCTTCAACACATCTGATCTATATTAGATGGCTGACTAGCTTCTATGGTTGCCTGACCTTCCTTATTTTTTAATGATTCTTCAAGAAAGTTAACTTAGCTAATCTTACTCTAAAGAGAAATAACAATTCAATCACATTCAATTCGAATGTGTCAGAATTTTTATTTCAAGCATCTGTCCTAAATGGAACAGCTATTTGATTATGGAGATAAAAAGGGGACATTTGTCTGAAGATGACAACTCAGGTCACTGAACAAATGGACTCAACCACACCACTACAGTGGTATGAAATTCCTATGAACGGTTCAGGGCCGCTTTGACCTCGGCTCTTTAAAGTGGGGTTAAGATAAAGCTTGGTCTACTGTTTTTGTCCACTCTGCTTTCTGATATTCTTATTCAAAAACAACTTAACAAAAATGATTACAGTAGGGTAAGTCGGATATTGGTAAATTCTGTCCTTTGGCGGTAAAGTGTAAAGAGTAAAGAGTGTGTGTGTATGTATGCATATAGCTTTCTTGAAATGGAAAACAATTATTTCATATATATATATATGTACACAGACACATGCACACACACTCATAGACCCAGGTTATCTAGATTGAAAGCATTTCAAGTAAAAGACAATATATTATTCCCAATCCTCCCTACATTTAAAATGCTATTCCCTATAGCTTACTACACATACGCTATAAATTTATGAGGGTAGAGTGCTTAAGTTTATTTGATATGCCTAGGGAGAACCTATGACTCTGGCATCAGTTTTTTATATTTCAATAAAAACACTACACAAATTTATTCAAGAGGCTGTCAGTTAATAAATTTGGATGCTCCCTCCAACAATGAAGGTCATAACCCAAACACACCCATCCCATCATAGCTAATTCTTGTCCAAGTTTCCTCAGTTTGCAACAGGGGGTCCACCTAATGTGCGAGGATCTTTCCTTGCTTTCTCCTAACACCAGGATATCAGTGGAGTGCTTGGGCTATCTACTTTTTATATTTTACGTTGGTCACAAGAACAGTAAATTTTTTTTTTTTAGCATACATCTTCCTGATGACATCCTTTACTTCAGTTCTTCCAATTTCTTATTTGTCATATTACAGACTGCTTAGACACTATGAATCTTTCGACACCTGCATAAATATGTTGTCTAGCATGGTAACATAACATAAACTTTATCTAATCTTGCTGCTTTCCCCAACCTTTGGCACTGGTAGCAGCTGGTAGGATAGAATCCTGGGCTTGGAGTCAGAGAGACCTAAGTTTAAATCTAGCCTCAGACACTTACTAGCTCAGTGACTGGGGGCAAGTCACTTAACCCATTTGTCTAAGTTTTATCCCTGCAAAACAAGGATAACACCACCTACCTTGCAGGTTTGTTATTAGGATCAAGTGAAACATTTGTAAAAGCACTAACACAATGCCTGGCACATAGTAGGTGCCACATAAAAAAGCTTATTCCTTATTTGTACCCTTATTATAAACAAATAGTTCTACTGTTCTTGATAGGGAAGAATGTCCTACAAAATTTTTTGGAGATATTTTCTATTTTTCTTCTGTTCATTGTACTCTTTCCATGTTTAATGCTATAATAGCATCAGGATAACTGCTCAGTTGCATCTCTCACTCAGCTTTCTTTTAAATTAGCTTAAATCTCCATTCCTTTCTGCTTTATGAGGTGATCCAGCTCATAATCTTCCATTATCCTTCTATGATTTCTTAGAACAAGCTTGAAGTTCTAAAATGGTGTTCTCTTGGACTGCCATCTTTTGCTAGGCATATATATTAAGTGTTTTCTGATGACATTGCTTTTTAGGCTCTATTGTTCTCTTTGTTACGGCAGTTGATTCACATTAAAACTTTCTTAGTTTTACTGGTCATAACAATGGTCTTATTGGTCATAACAATGGTCTTTCAAAGTTATCTTCACAATATTGCTGTTCTTGTATAAATTGTTCTGGTTCTGATCACTTCTTTGCCATTAAGTCATGTAAGTTTTCCCAGGTTTTTCTTACCAATAAATTGTTCAAATATAACACAATTGAGTTGTTTCAATTGAACTGCCTTTTTAATAATTTTAATTATTCTAGTTTTGTAATGATTTTGATCTTTGCTCTAAGTCAGTGGTATAACTGTATAGGCAGATGATTTAAGAATTACTACAACATCAGTTATGAGTAATTGTTTTTTTTTGTAAAATAAAATCAATTTCATTTCTTTGCAATGTTATTTAGGTGCCTGCCATGTCCAAAATCTACCAGTTATTTTTTCAAAGATATACAGATATGAGGATTCTGTGTAGTCCACATTTGTTCTCTCATTTTTTATCACTGACGCACTTTTCCAATGTATTTCTTGCCATCTTCCTCTATTCTCACTTTCGTTTCAGTACTGACCTGTATATTATAAGTTCTTGACAGAATTTCTCTAACATCCTTTGGAAGAGTATTGTACACATGCTGCAATTATTTTCATGGTAGACTTTTCACAAATATTTATCATGAGCACTACAGTGCCAGAAGACCATGTTGTTCTATGAACTGTTCCTTCCTATCTGTGGATGTATAATAAAACCAATGCTACCAATTTTTTCATTTCCCTCTTCAATGAGAACCTGACTTCTTCCATTTAGCATCAACTTCCTTCTTTTGATTTAATTTATAGTAGGAGTGTCAAGATTAACATGAATAATTTCTGTCAGTGGAAGATTCATCTATTGGTCATGAATTAGGGTATCACCTTAAGAATACCACATGCCAAGTGTCCCTCGTTCTGGTAATACCATTGTTAGTGCAGAATAGTGGGGGATTGAGTGATATTTTGCATTTTTCTTTATTTCCTGGGTTGCCACAGCTGAGGAAGTCATCCCCAAATGGCCAGGTGATGTGTCTTTCTCTGCTTAGCTAGTAGTAGAGTACAAGTCTGCTCCAAAAAAATATTAGGTATGTTATACAGAATGTATTATATACACATACTATACATTTAACCAATACTATATATTTAACTAATATCGAATTCATTTCATAAATGTTTCTTTTGGGATGTAAAAACTTCTTCCTTACAATAAAACTGATTTTATTCCTTAAAAATCATATAAACTAAAATAATGCCAATGTTTGCAGGTTCAAATACTGAAAATATCTGAGATGATATTAACGAAATTCAGTTAAAAATTCTTCTGATACAAAGTATCTCTAAATTTAAGCAAAATGTTAATAAAAAATAAATCTATCAATTGTGACTTAGGTAGTACAAAGTTAACTTTTTTTTTTACTTAAATAATCAAAGAACTTTAGAGATGGAAGAGAGCTTACTTAGAGATCATCTGGTAAAATTCTAGTTCAACATCCTAATTTTATAAATGAATACCTGATTTGTCCTTGCATATTTTATGTCTAATTTAAGTGAATATTAGATTGCTAATCAATTGCTTAGTGAATAAAGGCAGTGGTACAGTAGGAAGAATGCTGGATATGGAATTAGAGAACATAGGTTCAAATTTGAGCTCTGCTACTCACTGCCTGTGTTACCTTAGGCATTCTGCTTCTTACACTTATTGCTAAACCAGCAGTTATTTATATCTCCCGAGCATCCCTGAAAGATGATGTGTAGGTGATGCCAATGACCAGGTAATACACACAGAGATATAAAATAAAAGGATAATTTTCCCATATAGACACAGAGCACTGATGAGCTATAATCCTATCTTAGAAGCTACAATTATTTCCAATTTTCAATTCAATTGTTATATACATATTTACTGACTTATACCCTGTTGACACACTTATCACATTTTAAGCAGACACTGACAAACTGGAACACAACCAGGAGTTAAGAGGAAGCAGAAAAGGGCACTGGATTTGGAGTCAGAGAACCTCACTCTGAAGCTATACTCAGTCTCTGGCCAAGTCATTTCACCTCCCTTGGCTCCAGTTTCCTTGTCATTAAAATTCAAAACCAAAATAGCTAAAGGAACTAGTAATGAAAGGAGAAAAAAAAATGTGCAGGGAGAAATGATATGGAAGATGTATGATGATGATGATGATAATAATAATAGGTAACTTTGATGTAGCACTTAGTCTTGGCCAGGCACTATGCCAAGCACATTACAATTATCTCATTTGATCCTCACAACAACTTTGGGAGCTAGGTGCTATAATAATAGCCCCCATTTTATAGATGAAGAAACAAGCAAAAAGCGGTTAAATGACTGCCTGTCATCATACAGCCAGTAAACATCTCAAGCCAGATTTGAGCTCAAGTCTTGAGGAACTCTAAACCTGACACTCTATCCACTGTACCACTTAGCTGCCTTCAAAAGCTGTTTTCTGGAAAATGAATTAGTTTTACCCAGTGTAAATGTAAGTAACAAGTAACATCAAAGAATCAAATTATAGGGAAGCAGACTTTATTTTTGATCACTGTAAGAACTTTCTAACAATTGAAAATGGCCCAGAATAAACTGCTTTGTAACATAGTTATCTTCCCCATTCCTGAATATATTTAAGCTAATGCTTTCTCCTTTGTGGGGATGCTATACATGTTGATTCCTGCATGAGGTAGTTAATCCAGATGATAAGGTTCATTCCCACTAAAATTACGACACTTCTTAATTTCCTGAAAATGACAGAGTCAGAGATTTAAAGCTGGTGGGCCTTAGAGAAATTGGGGGCTTTATAGTTTAGACAACTTAACCCAGGTCACACAAATAAGAAGAGATTTAAAACTATGACTTCTGACTCCAGATTCAGCACGTCATGCCACCTCTCCCAAATCTTTTAATCCCGAGTGGCACAGAAAAGCTTTTCAAAAAGCAACTTCTAAAATAATCATTTATTTTAAATGAAATCAAATGCTTATAATGGTTTATTCATACTAAGAATAATTATTTTCCTCATTCAAATATTATTTTTTTAAAAAGCAACATGAGAAATGTGCATGCTGTTACTCAACTAGAAGTACCTGGATAAAAAACTCCTACCAATTCTTTCCCACCCATGAATAGTGGTGGCATGTATTCAGAACGGGAAAGTCCTCTTTCTTTGAATAACCAGTCATATAACCTCCTCTTAACAATCATTCTCCAGCCCATTTGTCCATCCTTCAGGGGACCTAAAAAAAAGATAATCAGAGAATGGCATATCTGGGTTGTGTCAAGAATATATTAACACAGTTCACTTGAGCAATGTGTATCCTTGAATAAATCATTAAATTTTTGTAGACCTCCTTTTCCTCATGTGTGAAATGAAACAATGGTTTCTAAGTCTTCTTCTAGCTCACAAATTCTATGATTTTCCAAGTTTGTTTTATATAATATTAGATGGTACTTACTGGTTTTGTGGATACAGGTTCTTCATAAATCTTATAAATATAGGGTTATACAATGCCTGACATATAGTAGGCACTTAATAGATACCGGTTGACTATGGCCCTGAATTTCTTCATCACTGTTTAGGATTTGTAGATTCACTCATTCCTTTAGATTTAAAATGCTATCTCTGCTTCTCAATGTCAGGAGTCACCTTAAGCAACTTTTTTACAATTTAAATTTAGTTTATGTAAAATTAATTTAGGCCTTCTAGTTTAGTTTTCTGGGTGTAGGTAGCACCCAATCTATAATAGGTGTTTTTCCAAAAATTTCTTTATTTAAGTCAACTTTTGAGAAACATCTTGTAACAGAAATGTTATAAAATTATAATAGTTAGATTCCCAACATGGTCTTACAACATTCTACTTCATATACAAAATAGCTGAACAAAGAACTAGCCTAAATTCAAAGTCCTAGAAGCAAGGGGGTATATGAAACAAGGAAAAGAAAACCTAAAATAGATGACCACTTTTGTCAATCTGGTCTCCATTTCTAAATCCTCCCTTACTTTCTTGTACTTTTTTCTCTAGGTCCCCAGTCTACACATATCCTGACGTACCCCTCAAGTACCTCACTTTGAAATTAAGGAAATTCTCTCCTTGTTTTCCTTATTCCAACTAATTCAATGCAGCTTCTCAAAGTTACAGAACTGTTTCAGAGAAAAGTGCTTTAAAAAAAAAAGCTCTTTAACCCTTTTGAGTTAGTTGCATTAAAAAGGGAAGGGGGGCCCCTGTGGCCAAGCCAAATAAATTGGTAAAATTTCAGGCAGTTTAACCAAATTAAATGGAAAAAAAATTTAAGGAGTTGGAGGCACAGTGGCTGTTGCAAGTAATCCAGGATCTTTCCCTTCTGTAAGCAGAGTGAAAGACACACAGTATGCATTTAATAAATGCTTGTTTATGCATTCTACACTGAGTTTATATGTGTTATTCTTCTACGAAGCCTTTGAAACTACTGTGTACCCTCTTTCCTTTCCTGAAACTCTTTAATTCCTATGACATTATACTATCCTGGTCCTGATCACTGTAATCATAGCAACTTCTTCCACATTTTTACACCTTTGGCATTTGTAACCTATAACAATCATTTAAATTATATTCTTGTGCTATTAGCCAAAATTTACCTAGGAACAAATACAAGACAAAATATAATTCAATAAATATTAAGTGCTTACTATGTGCAAAGTCCTGGGAATACAAACAAGAAGAAAAGTCTTTACCTTCAAAGAACTTATATTCTAATAGGAGGTATGAATTAAACCGACTTTATGTATTTAATGTAAAAAGAACAAACAAGTATATCAGGAAAGGTTTTTTGTAGGTGGTGGCATCTGAATTTACATTTGGAAGGAAGCTAAAGTTTCTAAGAGGCAGAAATAAAAACAAAATGTATTTGTGGGTCTAGGAGACAGCCTACACAAAATAAAAAAGGAAGGAGATGGACACTACGGGAGAAGCAAGACAAGTTAACTGTTGTAAAGGTTCACTGGTCACACTGTGAAAAACCTTAAAAGTTAGTGAAATGGATGTTCTATTTGCTCTCCTGATCCACTCCCAATCTACAAAAAGTAGGTATACACAGCCAGACTATTTTGTGTCCATCAGCAACCTTCTATAGGTTTCCCCTATTCCTGATGTACATTTCTACCATTCATTAATGGCTATTATGATAGGCTAAATCTTGTTTTTCAAAGTCAAAACTAGACTCTTTTAGTCATCAATCTCTTCAGTGAGTTGTCCTGTGCCAAAATAGTTTATAGATGTCAGCACTGCAACACTGAGAAAGCACTAAAGTCAAGAGAGAGGATCTGGGTTCAAATTCCAGCTGCTACTCCCTGTATGACCATGAGCAAACCACCATATATATAAACCTATGAATTAACTATCTCCAAAAGCAGCCCCTTTTATTTTTGGCTAATTTCAATCAAAAGGAAGTTTTTTCTTACATCAATTTAAAAGTTTTTCTCCTTAAAACAGCATGAGGAAATCTCAGGAGCACATTGAGGGAACATTATTTCAGTTTCACTATAATGTAGTAAAAGGGAAGGCATTTTATTCAATTAATACTTAAGCATCTATTATGTGCAAAGTACTATGCAAACTGGCAAGAACACAAATACATAGAAGACATCTTCCCTGCCCTTAAGGAGCTCAAAATCTAGTAAGAAAGACAACACACAAATTGGTTAAGTATAACAAAAAATATGAGGTTAAGCTCCTTGAAAGTAGGGATTGTTTCATTCAGTGAGTGTGTTTAATAGAACTTGTTGACTGCCACATATACCATAGGAGTTTGAGTAGGAATGCATCATCTAGTCCAGCCCTCTCATTTTAGATTTGAAGAGCTTGTGACTTGCTTCAAATCACAAAAGCAGAGTAAATAAAAGAGCTGGAGTTCTCATGCAGGTTTTGTGACTCAAAATCCAGCTTTTTGTCCCCACTGCACACACACTATTCTGAACAGTCTTGTCATAGTTTAGATAGAGATCATGCAACAGAATCATCAAGGACAATGTCAGGAAGGGAGCATTTTGTGTATGGACATTAAACGGGTACAATTTCCCACAACATTCATATTATGCATGAGTTGTCAATCTGCTTTTTGAATGGCATAAAACACAATTTACTGTATACAGTTAGTTCTGGGCTAGTTTGATTTTAGTTCTATTAAGCTTGTTCCAGGTGGCAACAGCAGAATATGCATGAAGGAGCTGTTAGGGCTTACTGAGCAGCAATGTACAAATACTCTCTGCCTTAAGTCCCAAGATTTCTCTCACAGCTTTACTATTTTCTTTACCTTATCATAGGCTTTTTGTTTCTTCTTCATTTCAAATAATCTTAAATAATTTTCTAAACTTACAGTATTTGTGGGTGGTACTCCTAGCATGCCTATGATAGGATTCCAAAAACGAGTTACTGTCAAAGTACTAAAAATTTTCCTGAGAAAAATGAACCAATAAGGTTAGTTCCCATAGAAATGAGGACTCCGTATTTTTAATATGGTATGTATTATACACATATACGTGTATATACAGACTGGTACTCTAAATAGAGAATGACATGGAGTAAGTTGTGCTACAGAACATACTGTTGGAAGCATTCTTGACAATGTTTAAAGATTTTTGTTTTTCGCATGCTTTTGATACTAAGGATATTTCTTAATAAAACTTAATGCCTTTTAGAGAAATCTTCAAAGTGATTAACAGGTTATGTCTCACCATCAGTAGAAATGTGACTCCATCAACGTAAAGTTGAAAAACTAAGTTTTCACTATGAAAACATAAAAAATCCATAAGTTAAGAGATGTCTAAAAAAAGTTTCAATTTTCCTTGCCAAATGAACATGAGAAATTCCTCATATGGTTTTACTGCCTTTAATTAGTCATAAATAGCAATTAAAAGAAAAATGCGACATATAGAAACAGAAGAGAATAAGTATCACATATATAATGTAGTTCAAACATACATTTTTTTTTTTAAATGCCTGAGTTAGGAATAATTTTCACTATAAAAACACTCCAAGAATTTCTGGATCCACCCCTCTTCCCCTCCAGCCCCCCAGTCACGTATTAATGTTGCTGAAAAGTGAAGGTTCCTAAAAGTTATATTCCACAACAACAAATCAGATAATGAAAATCTCTATACTACGAAAATTATGCCCAAGAACCAGCCAAAAAAGGTCCACTAATTCCAAGTTAAAACCAGATACAAAATAATTTACATATTACTTTAAAATTTGTTTTAAGAAGATTATGTAGAAATATTTTCCCTTTATTTATATCTGGAACTGACAAATAGACTAGTTTATGAAACAATTTTGTTAATAAACAAGTTGAGTGTTTAATTTTAAAAAAACTGACAATAGAAATGCCACAGAATAGTAAAATAGATAACATATAATATTTAAAAATAATATTCAGAAAAGTTGAGTTCCTCCTTCAGTTCGAAGAATAGTGAATTAGAGTTATTTGGCAGTGTAGTCTACAAAATGTTAAAAAAATCTATTTCTATATAAAGTTACTTTATTAATAAAAATCTCAGGGAAGAGTATTCAAAGAAAATGGAAAGAAAATCTTTGAGTAATAAATGACAAAAGTATTTCTAAGTACCATACCTGATTTTAAAAGAAAATTCCTCTCTTGAAATTGGCACCATACTTTTGCATCTGAATTCATGAAATTACAAAGTAGCCAGTGAGTGACTGAATTTAGACTTCAATTTAAAAGCAATTAAAATTATTTTGGATAGAGTGCTGGGCCTGAAGTCAGGAAGATGCATGTTCCTGAGTTCAAATGTGACTTCAGACACTGTGTGATCCTGAGTAAGTCATTTCACCCTGTTTGCCTCAGTTCCTTATCTGTAAAATGAGCTTTTTCTTGTTAATCTTAAGATGATTAGTCATTTCCAGGCTACAAAATTTAAATGAGTAATTAATTTCCCAAATGGAAACAACCAAATATCTAAAAATAAACAAGCAACTAAACTAAATGACAATAGCAAAAAAGACCAAAGGAAAAAATGTACAATGGCTTTAAAATACTGAAGTTTTGAGACAGCAAAATAAAATTTGTGAATTATTTCTGGACATTCTTTAACCTCATTGTCTTGGATACTAAAACAAATGAAACACTTTATAGAATGAAATTGGGAAACTTACAACTTAAAACAGTCCTTTTTGTAGTCCTCCATGAAAAAATTATTTGCTTGTGCCTTGCTATCTTATTAGTTGGAAATTGAAACAGTTAT